TGGTGCGGGAGACGGTGGGCGCGGCGAAGGCGGAGGGCGGCGTGCGCCTGGGAGGGAGGGGGTGGGGGTGCGACCAGGGCAAGGCGCGGTCGCCGACGCGCGTGTGGGCCCCGGGGCGGGGCACCTCGGGGTGTGTGTGAGGATGTGTTGTGATGATGTGAGGTGTGTGTGTGTGTGTTTTTATTATGGGTTGTGGAAGACTTGCGGCGGGACGGGCGGCTGGCGGCGTGCCTGTGATTCCATCAACTCCGGATGCCCGCCGATGCGTCAGGGAGCGGGCGGTGGTCGGCGACTTTTGTTGTGGTCGGCGACTTTTGTTGTGGTCGGCGACTTTTGTTGTGGTCGGCGACTTTGTTGTGTCGGGCGTGTGGCATGCGTGTGGCATGCGCTATTGGCGATGCTGGCGGGGCCGTGAGCGGCGGTTTTGTCGAGCCGCTCCCGCCGCCCCGCTCTCCCGGCCTCTCAGGGCCGTCTCTAACGAAGAGTTGGGTGTGCTAGCACGCGGCATTTGTGTACAAGTTGTAGTGTAGGCGACATTTGTCGAAAGAGTCTAGATAGAGTCGAAAGAAATGACGTGCTTTTGCACACAGCCAATCCGCCGCGCCAACACGCCGCCGCCTGACAGTGTCAGCCCTGAATACGGCCGCCCGCGATAAGGCGGTGTCACCACGGCAAAAATTTACGCCGCCTACAGCAAAGCAGCCTACAGCAAAGCAGCCTACGCACCGCGCTACACAGCAAAGCAAACCACCCTACAACTTGTACAGCACACCAGACTCCCCTCCTCGCGCCCCGTAAATTTCCGTTGCGGTACCCTTGAATCGTCGACCTTTATTGTAACTTGTAGTTACAATACAATAAGCGGTACCGTTCAAAGGTACTGTACCGGTACAGTACGCCACCCGCCCCGCGCGTAGCCCAGAAGGCTACAGATAACACCCGCCCGCCCGCCCGCCCGCACAGCTGTTTACAAGTTACATACTGTATCTTGACCACTATGGCAACGCGCCGCGTTGCCGAGCTTCCGCGCCAACGCCGCGCCACCCCGGCGGCCGCCCGCCGCCCCGCCTTCGCCGCAACTCCCCGTTACCCCGTCCGCCCGCGTCGTGCCGTGTCAAACTGCCGTGCCGCCGCCAGTGTCCGCCCCCTCCACTGCCGAACCACCCGCCTCCCAACTGAAACCGCCACTGCCGGAGCACCCACTTGCAACTGAAACCTCCAACCACCACCACCACCGCCCGATGGCTAAGGCATTCATGTGTGTTTGGTTGGCTTAGTATTTT